GTGGTACAAAGAGAGACAATTCATTTAATTCTGGATTCCACACTTTACATAATTAGCAGCTCTAATGAATACTTTACGTTTTACCAGTTAAAATGAGGAGGGTACTGCAATGTCCCATCAGAGGTCGAAAATCAGGTGAGACCAGGTAAAAATTAAAACAAAGGAAAATCTCTCGGCAATTATCTCAGATCTAATAAGGTATATAGAATGAAAATGTTGCGAAATAAGATGTTTAATTGAAATATTTACAGTAAACATTAATGAATAAGATATAAAAAAATACTCCTAATTTTTTTTTTAAGTGAAAACTTCTGTCGGCGCGTTTTGCACTTTTTTTTTATGGAGAGTGAATTTCAGATCTCCGAATAAAACGCTCGGATAATGTCGGCTGGAGTCGACCAACTAAAGTGTTATTGCATATGAATTAAAATATCCAAAAACAAAAAATCAGACCTGCATATTGTTAGCAATGAGAATGTTCATCATTTCAAACTATTTGTAATGAGCTATTACAAAAAAACTGTATCCTAACGCGACGCCATGTTACAGAGACGAAAATGAAAAAAAAATTGTGTCCAAAACTAAATAAATTACGAGTTTTACTATTATAAGAAATGTATTAAAATATATCAGAAACAAAGATCGGACCTACGTACTATAAGCGAAGGAATTATCCAGAATTTCATTCCCTCTGTAATGGGCTATCATTCCAACTTGTATCTTAACGCGACGTCGTGTTACAGTGACCATAAAGGAAAAAAAATGGTGTCTAAAACCAAACCATAACAAGTTTTATTGAAGATATAGACTAAAATATTTCAGAAATTAATCATCGGATTTGTATATTATAAGCGAGGTAAATTTTCACCATTTCATCATCTTTATAATGAGTTATTATTATTATTTTTTGTCTATAAAATATGTATTTGCGAGTGTCAACAATAAGTTGACAATCAGCAAATATGATGGCAATAATGATATAATGACATGACAGGCATGGGAAAGGAAAGTACTCAGCAGTACCTCTTCTCTAACTTGTACCAATTACTTAGGTTGTCTAAGTAAGGAGGAAGGAGATCCCTCATCCAATGCCTTTTTAGTCTCCTGCTCATGTTCTGAGGTATGTCAGCTGTGGCCATGTCTCTTATAAGTCTGTTATTATGTCCATTTAAATTTATGTAAAATCGTTGATATAGGCTCGTTATATGTTGGTCAACTGTTGGAAAGCGGAGGTCAGTATGTAGAGTTTTGTTAGTCACGTACCAAGGTGCTTTGGTTATGAGTCGCAATAATTTTGATTGGAACGTTTGAAGTTTTTGTTGGTGGGTCTTTTTAGCGATGCCGTATATTTGTGATGAGTATGTCCATATGGGATTAAGTAGGTATGTATATGTACTCAGTTTCTGTTTTAGATTTAGTTTTGAAGATTTGGCAAAAAGAGAGTAAAGTAGTTTGAGTCATTTGTTAAGTGTCATACGTTTCATTTTAACATGTGGGCCCCATGTCATTCTTCTGTCGAAGGTGAGTCCAAGGTAAAGTACCGTGTCCGTTTGAGGAATTTGATTGTTGTCAATATAAACTGGAGGGCAGGTTATTCATTACTTAGATTTCATATTTTTAATCTCGGATTGTTGATGTTTTCGCTTCTATCGTCTGGTCTAAAGTATACACTTTATTTTTTTTAATAGCGTTTGGTTTAATGATTCCATTGTATATTATATTACTATCTGACCAAGATGTGTGCGTAGAAATGTCGAACCGGCCGTCATTTCGAGAAAAAAAAAAATGACATGCGGTAATTTCGAGTCAGAGTATCATTTATAAGAGAGCTTATTTATCCACCATTAATATTCTATTATATTATATTTGTTTTGTTAATAAGAAAATGCATAATACTAAGTTCTTTTAGAAAACCAGCTCGGTATATTAGTAACAGATCTAGAGATCAAGATTTAAAACTACGTTATACGAAGACATACAGACGACTTCAAGAAACCAGGGTCGTCATTAAAAATTTACGCTGGACTAGTTACGATACACCCATGTAGAAGATTAAAAGGTAGGGGATCCGTCACCTCCTTGCTTAATATCATGCATACAAGTAAAGTTGCACTCTGTATTTTGCAATTTTTTTTCTTTTTTAATTAGAACTAGCCAAGCCTAAAAGATAACTTGTTTTGTAGTATAATTCACATATCTGTTCCATTGTTTCATGAAAGAATCTCCCAAATAAAAAGTAGGATTACTTAACAAGCTTTAGAATAATAAGTTTATTGCCTGATACAAAATGTTTGTTATTTTATATTTTATAAAGTAATATAGTATTACTTTTTTTATATTACTGGTTTCTGACTGCTCTGAAAGGATTTCTAAGTCATTATATATCAATCCATTTTTCTTTTTTTTTAAACTAAGAAGAACATATTACTAATTGAATTAAACGAATCTTAATGTATAATAAACAACATTAATCCAAAGATGCTTTAAGCAAGCCAAGTAAATTTTTATCTTTACGCAACACTATAGTATCATGGTTGATTCTATCTATCCGTCTGCTTTTTGGCCTTCCAAGTGATCTTTTGCCTTCTATTAAGACACTAATTGTTAAGAAGAGGCTTCCAGATGGATTGCTACGAGCTACATGTCCAGCCGATCTTAACCTCTGTGCCTTCATATTATGGGATATTGATTGATCAGTTTCTGTAAGCAGTTCTTTATTGGTCTTTAATTTCCATGTGCTAGTACTCTGTTATCCTGCGGACGATTTTTCTTTCAAATCTTTCAATACTTTTTACTAGGGTGCTGGTTAATGTCCGGATCTCACTGCCATATATTAAAACTGATTTTATCATAGCGTTGTACACCCATAATTTAAGATTTTTCGGGATTTTAATACAGTTGAAAGAGAGAAAAAAGCTCTGTTTACATTAGTTATACACTGGTCTATTTCTTTAGTCATTCATTGAGGTTATTGTGGAGCCAAAATATTTTAATTTTTCTACTCTCGGGAATGATTTTTCTTCTGCTCAGATCCTGTAATTGGGGTGAAATTTTCGGTTTATTATCATATATTTTCTTTTGTCTTCATTTACTTGTAGGTCGATCTCCTCATCCTTTCTTATCAGTGTTATAGCTAGTTTCTCAATATTTTCTTGATTACTTCCAAGGACAGCTAAATATGTCATAAATGGATTTATCATAAATCTTAATCATAAATGGATTTGTTAATTTTTTCTTCTTGGCTTGCAGGGCGCATTTTCAAGGACCCTCTGACGTGGGAATAATATTTTTCGACCTAGTATCACCAAAAAAAAAAAAAAATGATTGAAATCAGGGACTTCCACCTCTTTTTGTCAGTCAAACCTAAGTAACAATAATATAAGAGAATTACAATAACTGATGTAAATGATAGTTTCTTCAATCATCACTAATACAAGGTGAGTAACCCAATTGGAGGACCGTGAGAGGGCGCATCCGACATGGATGTCATTCTCGTTTGCGGTCTAGTTAATGTACTCGTGGTTACTGCCAGCTTCTCAGGCAAATAGCTGCTCAGCTCTCCGCTCCACCATTGGTTCAATTACGTCGGTCTTGTCCTCTCACATCGTGTTAACTATTTATTGACCTCTTAGGAATAACATAAAAGGCAATCAGTGAGTAGGACAATTCTCGACAACATTCAAGAAGTAAGATAAAAGCCTCTTTATTTTGTGTATATTTTTGGACTAAAGTAAATGTATTAGTTTATGCCATATTTATATCAATTATTGTTAGTTAATTTAATTTTAACATGACCGATGACTCCTGTATCCTATCAGTTAATAAAGATCCATCTATTACATCACAAATTCTTCAAATCACACATCACAAGTCTTGAAAAATGGTGTCAAAACTAAAGGATTAAAATAAATTACAATAAATCCCATCAAATTACCTTTACTCTTCGTCGTAAATCTATGACTTCATGTCCTACAGTATCCTTTAATAATACCCCTCTTATCCCTGTTGAACGAATCCGACACCTAGGACCCTACCTTGACAAACGACTCACTTGAAATCCCCATACTAGACTGAAACGACTAGAAACCGCCCGACGTTTCCGAATACTCCAGCAATTACTAGACAAACACTCTAAACTTCCAACTATTTACAAAAGACTCATATATATTACTATAATAAGGCCTATTTGTACTTACGGGATGGAGCTTTGGGGCTCTACTAAACCATCAAATTCCTCTCGTATCCAATTACTACAAAATCCTTCGTAAAATCCTTAATGCTCCCAACTTTGTCACAAATAAAATCATCCATAATGACCTTAATGTACCATATGTTTCCTATTTAGCTCAATCCAGATACCTGTCCATCATAATAAACTTTTGAACCATCCGAAACCTCTGGCTTCCAACATTGCTTCCTCTTCTATTTCTGATAACCCTCCGATGCGTCTGAAAAGAAGATGGGAGGCCTCGGGAACTTCTATTATAGAAATATAATTGGGGTGCTACCAATGGATAGTTTATCTTCATGTTGTACATATCATATTACTTGTTGTATTTATCATTTAATACAGTTGTAAATTTCTGTAATAATAAAAATAAAATTAACATGTATAATTGCTGAGCTATTGGTATTGCTGACATGATTGATACGGGTAGATCTTCCCCAGGAATTCGACATGACATGACATATTAGTAGTTTAGGGAAATAAAATAGTATTAACTATTTCATATAACCTATAAAAATTATAATTTTAATAGTTCTTAACTACATTTTGAAGAAATTAATTAAAATTCAACTAGAGGGGTACCGAAATCCCAAGGTCTAAATCGAATCTCATTACTACACAAACCCATTTGTCATTGTTCCATTGAAGACAGGCTTCAACGGAATCGATGCTTTCATTGTCCAAACTCCCTTTGTTGTCACAATGTTATCGAATTAAGGCGACGCGTTCGGTTTAACTGACATGTAAATAATTGTTAAAGTTAAATATTAAGTCAAATAAATAACTGCCGGCTTACCTGCCCTCCCACGAGGCCTTCTTTCAGACGAGGCAAGTCGGTATGAGACCAGTTCGACTTAGACCAAGGCTCCACCAACCGCAGGTCATCCGAGAAGTTGAACCTTCCCAGCTGATTGTGCACGAATTTCCTGATGTTCCAAGGCAAATCGTTGTGTCTGTAACATATAAAATGATATCATATGAGTTCTGTGAACGTATGTGAATACAGGAGGGGCTACATGTCTCCATGCGAAAAAACTTAAGAAAAATAAGAAGATATTAATGATGTTATGAAAAAAAGTTTATCATTAAGATAAAGAATCCTGGAAACGTTGGAAAGTGAGAGCAATTCAGTGAAAAAAAATGTAATAAAAATATAGTTTAAAGGGAGATGGTCAGTTCTCAAGAAACCTCGAATAATATTTTTTATATTATTTTTTAAACCTCAAATAATTATTTGACACAGAACCCTTTTTATCAAATTATTAACATCCTTCTGAAACCTCGTACATAGCTTCTAGGCATCGTCACCAATAATTATTTTATTTACGGAAATTCTAGAAATTGGGTCTTTTTCAACCTGGAGATCGACAAACGTTTTCTATTTAGTTAGGTACCAAAAATTCGTAAAAACCATTTGCTTTCCCTTTGATTCATAAGACAATTTGAACACACAAACGAGATAAAAGGTGGCCATCAAAAATATTGAGCCGTTTCTCCGTGACCTACACTCCCAAAATGTAAAAATAACAAGGTTATTTAGGCCAAATGGCACAATATTTTTGTAAGCAACCTTTTTTTTTTTTTCGATTTTGTGATCAAATTATCTTCTGATCCGAGTAGAAAGCAAATGGGTATGTACGAGTTTATAGTACCTAACTAAATAGACAAAGTTTGCCGACGTCTAGATTGAAAACACATCAATTCAAAGAATTTTCGTGAATAAAATATTTGGAGTTTACGATGAGATAAAGCTATTTATGAAATCACAGGCAGATGTTAATAATGTGATAAAAAAGAGGTCTGTACCACAAACTATATATAGATGAATACAATTACTACAAGATTAGTTATTCTAAAGTAGTTGTTCTCTAAGGCTATGTTTCAATTGAATTCGGAATAATCAGTGGCCATGTTTTTTATTTAAGCTGTGGGTGCTTAAAAATCAAGCTATTAAACAAAAAACGATGAAAAGTAAAAATCCCTCCCCAAAAAAACTAAAAATTAAATTCTCGAAACATTATAAAAGTCTTTAGATGGCGATAGCTGACCCACGGCTTCACAATCGGCGGAGTTGGCGACAAGCGCTTTATGCGCCCAGTGACAGATGACCAACAACCACCGGTCATTGTAGTCCTAACGTGTTATTGATGGACCCTCACGAGGGGATATGACATAATATAGCACCTAGGTTTTAAGCATTGCTTATATAAAATTTATTTATACAGTCAACTTTCTAAATTTTAAATTTTCTAAAAATTTATTAAACTTATAAATGGTGCCTTCGAGGATCGGAATTAAAATATTATGCAATTAAAACAACTGTTTAATTCGGAACTTCACCATCATTTTATGGCCTCCATCTTGCTGCAAACCATTCCTGTAGAGTTAATCTGTTCATTTTGGTGAAGTGTGCACACAGAAAGGTACTCTCTTAAGAAATGACAAGGAAACAAAATATGAGCTGCTAATTTTTAAGAGAACAGCCTGGTGAAGGAGATGTAGAAGTATGGAGATGAAGAAGAGGTGGCCAAAACCATGAAGCTCAAATTTAGGCATAAAGTGAGTCCAAATTGACAATCAAGCAATATGTAATTAAACTATAAAGAACCACACAATTGTACAAAGGCACAGATTTCATTTATTTTATTTTATTCGATCATATGCAATATGTAATCATGTTCTCAATATTTCTGTTTTAATTTAATCAAGTATCAAATTTCAGTGACCCAACCTCATACAGTCCACACTAATACACCAGCGCACATAATTCACTTACAAATCATTGGGTAATATTTGGCTCACACCAAATTACCGTGATCGAACAGATTGAATTACCCTTACAATGATTCCATTTATTTAAGTCGTAACGAAAACTTTTCGAGCCAATTGGCTAATTTTCGATCAATCGATAACAAGTCACAAAAAATTGTTGACAACTATGGTCATTGATTATTTAGTGGCAATACAAATTATAATGCAAATACTATTGTGAGAACTTGACAAATTTATACATTTTCCAAGATTGTCCAATTTATTGTAGTAAATTAAATGATTTAGAGATATCACAAAATATGTCAATAGCGTTGGGAAACGACATCAACAGATCAGACAAAATGATAGCATTTTTAATAAGGGTAAATTTAATAAAAGAATTATAATAGTAATTTCTATTTTTTCTTTTTCTTGTATTTAATTTGTTTTCCCTTATATATAATTTATTTCATTGTTTTCTCTATTAAACCTACCAGCTAAATATTATAATAATAATACTTTTATGGATAAGGCGTTGATGACCTAGATGTTTTGCGCCTAAAGCATAAAAAAAAAAACAACCAACATACAAAAAAATCTATGGCATGCCCATGTGAGAAACATATTGCAGAAAAGTAACTGAATATAAAGTGTTGGGGCCAGGGGTACTTCAAAATCGAAGTACAGATCTTTCCCCGCTGCGTTTCCTCAATGGTGGGGAAAATTCGAGTGAAATGAAATTTTGGGAAAGAAGGAAAAAATAAAAGGAGTAAAAATGATACCTGTAAAACATGAAAGAAAAAAAAAACAAATACATGCAAAAGAAAATAATATTAAATAAAAATATTCAATAAATCAAAAACGGAAAAAGGAAAAATCCCCTTCTAAATGATTACAAATTTATTGAGATAAAAATATATGTAAAATTCAAAACAAACAAATGAGAAGAAAGAAAATTATTCAATTTCACTGAAATAAAAGAAAACATAAAACATAATGTTCAGTTAAAAATAAAACAATTAAACATTATGAAAAAGTATATAGTAAAATCCACTTCGGAAAACTATAAATAAACCAAGAGAGAAAAATGTCTGTGGTAACGGTGAGAGAAGTGAACGAAAATATCCCAAATTGGAGGCTATATTTCCAAAGAGGTTAGTTACCTGAAGTTCAGCTGCCAAAGCAGTCGATAGTGGGGGGATCGATATGCATATCGATCCTGATCGATGACTCGCGATGAAACAGCTGGGATCTTTAAATGGCGCAGGTGAGGTGAAGTGAGTCTGGAATGGTGGGGCTAGTTTTACTATCTACTATCTCGACAAAGGCTACTTCCAGACTGGCTTAAGACTGCATCCCGACATTATTATGGCATTATTTGTGTCTTAATCCCTAAGACTGGGTATCACTGCCGGGTGGGAGCGTATACAAAATCACGATAATACATCGCAGAACAATACCCAAGTATATAAATAATACACACAAAATACATTTCAGGGACAATGTCCCTCGGCCTATTACAAAAAAAAAAATTATTCCAGTTACATTCAAAAAGGGTAAAAATGGTGAGACAAAATAATCATAAAAATATAAAGATAAGAATGTATGCAGCGTTAACATAAAGTATCTAAAAACAAATTTATTTAGCAAGTCAAAATGTCTTAAGGATTTATGCAGGTAGGTGTTAAGTAGTTTAGTTATGCCATTTCTACCTAATTTTCAGTTTTGAAGATTTGAAAAATAGAGAGTATAGTTGTTTCAGACATTTATTTAAGATTTTCCCTTTTATTTTGGCATATGAGAAATTTATCACCTTTGTAAACTAGTTAACACGTGTCACGTTGACATGTGTACCTGTGAATTTTTGTGATTCAAGTATCTGATTTCAAACCATAAAAAATCATCCGATTAAATCATAAAATTTGGATAACATTTTCGTAACGTCAATCATTGTGATTAAAAATAATAGATATCAAGGTATATCATATGTAAAATTAATACTGACAAAGAACCATATACCTTGAAAGACGTGACAGAAGTCAACTTGTGTAAATGATCTAAACCAGGAGTCTCCAAATTACGGTCCGGGAATGTTTCTTTGATTACTAAATCCGGCAAACACGATATTACGACAACATTTATTACATGAGTAGTTTCCCTTAGTAAGCTTATTTCACACCTTAAGACCACTTAAAGAACAAATATTTTGTTTTAATCACAAGGAATGCAGGGACTCGAGTGGAAGGCTCAGTGAGGCCCGCAGGCCAAGATTTTGGAGGAAACAACGCAGCGTTAGTTTCCTCTTCTCACTACTGAGTAATATTGAAAATATGGAACTTAAGAAATGGATCTCTTGCACCTGTCTACTGTTTGCAACATAATATACTGCGTGTCTCAGTGTGTTAATAGTTCCTTTTACGACAACATCACATATATCTTATTCACACTACTTGTAACCAGGCCTTCGTGAATCAATTAAGAGATCCATTATACATCTATTTAGACTGAAAGAATGCCTTAAATTTGGTAGATCTCATTTCAACCGCCTCAAAGTGGGCTGTCCAAAGCGAACAAATTCGTCATATCGATAGTAAATATTTTTATGCAAAACGGCATTATACGTATTTTTATAAATCTGTGTAATAAGAAAAAAAAAAAAGAATCAGCCAAAAAAATTACAAATAATATAAGTGAAATTAGCTGCAAACATTGAGAATCTAGAGCCAGTATTAATAATAAAGAGTACTGGCCTGATTGCCAAAGTGAACAACAAATAATTTTTAAACCTTTAAACGAAGATTTTTCCTCTAAAATAGTTTTGATACATAGAAATAAACATTATTAAAACGTTTGAGCTGATTTTCTAAAAAGGTTCGTTTGAGTTACGAACAATATTTTTGCAATTGCGTAAAAAATTTGAAATGAAAATTATGCAAATTTTAAAAACTGTAACTTTACCGGAACATCACGACATATAAATATATTTCCAGGTTCATGTACTTTACATATTAATATTCCAACATCAGACGTAATTAAGTATTTAGGTTTTTACCTGGACAAAAGACTTACTTGGAGGACTCACATCAGACAAAAACGAATAGAATTAAACAGACGATACGGTCTTTTATCCAGATTACTTGACAGACGTTCAAAATTATCTTTAACTAACAAACTAACCCTTTATAAAGTTTTACTTAAACCTATTTGGACTTACGGCATAGAACTGTGGGGCTCTGCTAAAACTTCCAACATTCAAAAAGTTCAGTCCTTTCAGTCAAAAGTGTTGCGAAGGATAGCAAATGATACACTACAAAATGATACACTACCATTTTAGATACTGCAAAGGAGAAATGCAATAATTTTCACCAAAGACTGACGTACAAAATGAATCCCCTGACAGAAATTCTTCATCGTTCAAGAAACCCGTACAGCCCACTACGAAGATTACGTAGGCGTTGGCCAAGAGACCTGCTGATTTTATTTATATTCCGGACGTCATGGGAAGCTGTAAAGCTGCCAAAAAATTTGCTCATTGCAAAGAAATTTGCAGATTGCAAATTTAATCAAATGCTCTACATTTTTGTTTCGTTAGTAAATAATATATTACCTAGTTAAATTCAATTACATATTATTTCTTTTCATTTTATTTGTTTAATGGAACAAATAGTAATTTATGTCACGATCTAAGAATGTTTTGAAATCTTCTCTGAATCAGAGATGGAGAGATGTTGCTCTGAATACTGACTACGAAGTATTTTATTCAGATACTGATCTTTTTTGAGTACCAAACCATATCCTTACTACATCAGTTGATGTCAAACGATTAACACAAGTAGTGATTGAATGCTCAATATTATTCAATTGCTTAAATTTGAATAAAATACTTGGTAATCGGTAATCAGGATAGTATTTGCCCATCTCTGCCTTGAATATATTTAAAATAAATTTGATCTGAAGGATCTTTCTACTAAAATCTGAGAGACCTTAAAAAAATCCAACATAACGGAAACATTCTAAAGAAAGCAGTAAGCGGGTTAAGAGATTTGCCCATTACAATCCTTTTGAACGTAGTTATTTATTATTGATTAGTAATGTACTGCTTAGCATAATAAATATTTAATAATTTATAAATTGATTTTTATCAAACTTTTTTTCCTGCATTTTACTGATTTTTTGTTTTGTGTTTTCCGAGTAATATATGTTCGTTTATGTTTCAGTTTTGGTAACTTGATTTATGAACTAAGTTAATTCTAAAAGTTTAACTTTTTTTATAAATAAAATGTATTTTTATAGTTGGCAGTGTAAAGTAACTTGTAAAATTCATCTTTTAATTGGGTAAAAAACGTTCCTAAAATAGAATTTTTTTTAATTAAAT